TGCTTCAGAACGCGGTCACGCAAGGGCGTTCCCAAAGCGACTCGAGTTCCTGAAGGGGAAGCGAAGTTTGATTTAAATCCTACATGGCGCCTCATATTTTGCTGCATACATGTTCAGATCTTAGAACAGACTGTTATATCTACAGTATAACAGTTGGTTTCACAATTTATCAGAGTGCAATGTAACCTGCATTTGTAAGAATTATTTCTTACTTAATATAACATTTAACCTTATGTTATCAGGTTACATTATTCATAGGATTTCATGTTTTTGAGTTTAGTAAAAAAAAGAAAAATCATTTTATTTCCCTCTCTCTCTCTCTCTCTCTAGGACTGGGTGACAGCTACTGATATCCTCATCTCTCTGGACAGACTGAACACTTTTGGAGATGAGTTCTTCAAAGATCCCAAAGTGCTTCGTTCATATTTTTATGCCATATCGGATTTTTCCGTGGGGGGCAGGTAAATAAAATCACAACTGTGTAGATGTGTCTTTCAGCTGTCACCAATGTTTTGTTGGCAGATGTATACTGACGAAGAGAAAAGGGAAAGGGAAAGGGAGCAAATGAAGGAAAATGGCCATAGAGTGAGTGATGAATAGGACAATTAGACAGAGAAAGAGCTCTAAATATCGAGGGAAACTGAACTTTAGTAAGAGAGAGAGAGATTTGTCAGCCATGTGATCTACATTCTACATCATCAGTGTGTTTGTGGTATAAACAGGATGTGGAAGAGACAGTGTTTGTGTATTTGTGTTTGTCACCACCTGCATATTGTTTGTGTCTGTGTTTGAGTTTGTGCATGTCTGATTTTTTTTCTTCTTCATCGGCATATATATCAGTGTCTTTTTACCTTTTAATAATAATAAACTGCACAAACATGTTAATGTTAATAGTTATCAGGGTACGTTGGTGAAAACACACAAAACTTGCTAAGCTAATTTCTTGCCAAACCTACAGTCATGGCCAAAAGTTTTGCTCTTTGTTAATTCTGTTAAAAGATAATATTTTATCATCTGGTTCATTAATTCATTGACACCACAACCCATTGAGATTATAATCAAGAAAAAGAGCTGAAAAAATGTATTAGGCCCCAAGTAAATTTTACATTACATGATTAATTTAACAATGTTTTTCATTTTACTAGTTAATAATATTTTTCTGTGAATGATAAACTGAAGGTTTAGCTGAAGGCCCATCTGTGCGTTTTTGTTTGGAGTATCTGAGAATTGGAAATGAACTAACAGTGAATTTAGCTTATATTTGATTCTTCACTTCAGCATTATATATTTAATGCTTTAAACTTCATTAAACATGAAATTCTGTTGGAGACTGCAGAGTTTTACTTTCACAAATTAACTTTGAAATGAAGAAGTTAATTTGTTGCCTCTTGCGCATTGGCTGTGATTGTATTTGCTTAGTTTACTCAGTGTAACTGAACTGATTTAATGAAGAAAAAAAATTACATGTGTTAAGTTCTCTATCGAAAATGTACTGTAGATCAATTTTGTGCAACCAAAGAAGTTTGAAAGATCAAAAAGAGCAAAGAAGTTTGTAAGATCAAAAAAGTTAGCATTGTATGTTGTACAATGTTAACGGCAGGCCCGGACTGGCCATCGGGAGCACCGGGAGAATTCCCAGTGGCCTGGCGGCTGTTTTGGCCCGCTGCTCTTTTTTTTTTTTAAGTTACTATTATTCGATAATAAATCATAAATTGTTTAGTCTTGACTGGCAGCGCTGCGTTATGAATTAGCTCACGTCTGTTCCGTGTTTCCGTCAAACGATTCCGAACAGAACCTTCAAGTGCAGGTCAGTTTCATTTGTAAATACGCTAGATAGTTTTGTCTTTAGTTGAGTATTAAACTGCTAGTATCAGTACTAGCACCCCATTATCATCATCATTCAGAATACTCTGCTAAATGACATCAATATCGATTGTAAAGTTACATAAAAATTTTTAGCAGAGACCAATATTCACGTGGATTTATTGTACAGGGAGGGAGCTATAGCAGACAGTAACACAAAAATAATATCAGTCACAGCCTAATAATGCAATAGTGCGTTCTGTATTAGAATTTTTCAACAAATATATTGTACTAATTTTGACATTTAGGCGCTTTAGAAAATGTGTTTTAATAGGCCTACACTACCAGTCAAAAAGTTGATCAGTAAGATTTTTAATGTTTTTTAAAGATGTCTCTTCTGCTCACTAAGCCTGCATTTATTTTATCCAAAATACAGCAAAAACAGTCATCTAATTAGAAGTCTAATGCTGTATAAACAATATATATAAACAGAGAATTTTTTTTTCAGGGTTCTTTGATGAATAGAAAGTTCAGAAGAACAACATTTATCTGAAATAGAAGACTTCTAGAATATGAGAATTATTCTAGAATCCCCCCCCCCCCAAAAAAAATTATACTGACTCCAAGCTTTTGGTATAGTGCATGTATAATGTTACAAAAGCTTTTTATTTCAGATAAATGCTGATCTTTGGATTTTTCGATTCATCAAAAAATCCTGTGTTAAATATTGTTTTAAATATTGATAATGATAATAATAATAATTTCTTGAACAGCAAATGAGCATATTAGCATGATTTCTGAAGGATCATGTGACACTGAAGATAGTAATGATGCTGAAAATTCAGCTTTGATCACAGAAATAAATTACATTTTAAAATGTATTCAAATCGAAAGCAGTTATTCTAAATGGTAAAAATATTTCACAATATTACTGCTCTTGCTGTACTTTGGATCAAATAAATGCAGGCTTGGTGAGCAGAAGAGACTTCTTTAAAAACATTACTGTTCAAAAACTTTTGACTGGTAGTGTATATTTGTATGTAATATAGGTTTGTTAAATCTAGGGTATTTAATTCTTTTTAAGATAAATAACATTCTGTGCTAACAAGCTGAAATTAGGTGGTTGTTTTCAACAAGGTGGACACAGTTCTGTTCATAACAGTAGACCTGCTGGTGAAGAAGTGACAGGTAAGAAAAAAAGGGAGAGACAGAGATATTGGGGAAAATGAAGTGAAGGTGCAGTGCAAGACAGAACCTTTAATTATTTTCCACTGCACCAGACTAAGGATCTAGACCTTTTTATGTGATGGTCATACAAACAATAGAGTTGTCTGTGGTTTCAGAAATTGTTGTGGATGTATAGGCTATATAAAAAGGGGCCAAAATTGCAACTTTTTGGGTACAACAGCTTGTCACTGGAACAGGACCCTTAAAAGGACATCTTTGTTCCTTTTTTTTTCCCCTAATAGGTAGGCCTACATATTAGTACCTTAAGGGTACGAATTACTACTCTAAGGTACTAATATGTACCTATTAGGGGTAAAAAAAAAAAGGTACAAAGATGTTGTTTTAAGAGTACTGCTACGGTGACGAGCTGTTGTACCCCAAAAGGTACAATTTTGGCCCCTTTTTTTCTGTGTGGATTTCTCACTGGATGAGTGTGAGATTTCCCGGCCTGAAATTACGTCCCAGTCCGGCCCTGGTTAACGTTGTTGTACAAAGTCAACAGTATCATCAGGATTTGCTGTAAATATCATAGCAATATCTTGAAAAGATCACATTTATTTCACTCGCCTTAGCTGCACTGTATTTACAGCACAATCTTACATGAAGATGCTCACAGCAGTCAGTAATTCAATAAAACATCACATCATTTAGCCTTTCAGCACAATAACTAAGAAAGTTTCATTCGTGTAATGTGTTGTGTGCGTGTGTGCTGTCATGCGTCTCTGGTAAATACTTTAGGGGGATGCTGTAATTGGCTATTCTGACAAACCCATAAGGCGAAAAAAGCCATGTTAATTATTTTCATTCTGTATTCCACTAAGCTCCACGTTCCTTTAATTAACTCTCTGTTTCAGTGGTCAACAGATGGGTTTCTGTTGGTAATTGTTGTCCCTTCCCATCAAAGTGGATTTAATGAATAAACAAGTTGGGTGCAAAAGCAGCACTATCTGTTGGTGAGGAGGTGGAAATAACCGCCGATGCATTCTGTGCATGGTTGCTTCATAAAGTTTTTCATCACAGACTCTGCCAAGTTTATCATTTGCATGACAGGCTCTTAAAGCTTCCACCATAAGCCTAAATGGAAATGCTTTATTAAATTGCAATACTCTTATTTGCATGACTAAAAATTAGAAGAGTAATTAAGGCAACCTAGAAATGTTTATTCATTACATCCAAACATCTCTTAAATGTGCATATTTACTAAACTATGTGAAACCAGCCAATTGTTTCTAGGTTTGTTCCCAGTCTGTTTTGATGTCTTTAAACACAATAGTTTTACAGTAATACATGTTTGTTTGTTTGTTTGTTTTCTCTCTGTCACAAGTAGCACCGAACAGAATTGCAAAAAGAATGATTTCAGAAGTTTTTTAACAGATTTCATGAACACTGCCTGTCAGTGCCCCACATTCACACTACTGGTTGAATTAATACTTTTACATGCGTACTTATAATGGAGCTCCAGCAGGTTTTTGTGTTGTTTTTGAGTTAGTCTTTGTCTGTCTGTCCATGTATGCATGACATATTTGTTACATGTCATTGCTGTCTTTTGAACCATGTGCTCAATGCCAAGGCTATTGTAGTCCGATTAACATGTATACAGGGGTGTGAAAAAGTGTTGGCCCCCTTCCTGATTTCTTTTTTTTTTGCATGTTTGTCACACTTTAATGTTTCAGATCATCAAACAAATTTAAATATTAGTAAAAGATAACACAAGTGAACACAACATGCAGTTTTTAAATGAAGGTTTTTATTATTAAGGGAAACTACAGGGCCCTGTGTGAAAAAGTGTTTGCCCCCTAAACCTAATAACTGGTTGGGCCACCCTTAGCAGCAACAACTGCAATCAAGCGTTTGCGATAACTTGCAGTGAGTCTGTTACAACGCTGTGGAGGAATTTTGGTCCACTCATCTGTGCAGAATTGTTGTAATTCAGCCACAATGGAGAGTTTTCGAGCATGAACTGCCTTTTTAAGGTCATGCCACAGCATCTCAATAGGATTCAGGTCAGGACTTTGACTAGGCCACTCCAAAGTCTTCATTTTGTTTATCTTCAGCCATTCAGAGGTGGACTTGCTGGTGTGTTTTGGATCATTGTCCTGCTGCAGAACCCAAGTTCGCTTCAGCTTGAAGTCACGAACAGATGGCCGGACATTCTCCTTCAGGATTTTTTGGTAAACAGCAGAATTCATGGTTCCATTTATCATAGCAAGTCTTCCAGGTCCTGAAGCAGCAAAACAGCCCCAGACCATCACACTACCACCACCATATTTTACTGTTAGTATGATGTTCTTTTTCTGAAATGCAGTGTTACTTTTACGCCAGACGTAATGGGACACACACCTTCCAAAAAGTTCAACTTTTGTCTCGTCAGTCCACAGAGTATTTTCCCAAAAGTCTTGGGGATCATCAAGATGTTTTCTGGCAAATCTGAGACGAGCCTTTATGTTCTTTTTATTCAGCAGCGGTTTTCGTCTTGGAACTGAAGGTTCTCCACTGTTCCATGTTTTTGCCATTTGTGAATAATGGCTCTCACTGTGGTTCGCTGGAGTCCCAAAGCTTTAGAAATGGCTTTATAACCTTTTCCAGACTGATAGATTACTTTCTTTCTCATTCGTTTCTGAATTTCTTCGGATCTCGGCATGATGTCTAGCTTTTGAGGATCTTTTGGTCTACTTCACTTTGTCAGGCAGGTCCTATTTAAGAGATTTCTTGATTGCGAACAGGTGTGGCAGTAATCAGGCCTGGGTGTGGCTAGAGAAATTGAACTCAGGTGTGATAAACCACAGTTTTAACAGGGGGGCAAACACTTCTTCACACAGGGCCATATTGCTTTGGATTTTGTTTTCCCTTAATAATAAAAACCTTCATTTAAAAACTGCATGTTGTGTTTACTTGTGTTATCTTTGACTGATATTTAAATTTGTTTGATGATCTGAAACATTAAAGTGTGACAACCATGCAAAAAAATAAGAAATCAGGAAGGGGGCCAACACTTTTTCACACTACTGTATTTGCTGGATGATGCCAAGCTTCAATCACGTTATCTATATTTGTCCAAAAGTTGGCAGTTGGTGCAGTTTTGGTTTTGGAAGTCTTTTTTATGTAAAAACAGTTATAAAATAACTATTTTCTATTTTAATGTTTTAAAATGTAATATATTCCATGTGATGGCAAAGCTGAATTTTCAGCAGCCATTACTCCAGTCTTCAGTGTCACATGATCATTTTAATATGCTTATTTGCTCCGCAAGAAACACTTTTATTATCACAGTTGAAAACAGTTGTGCTGCTTATTTAATAGTTTTTGTGGAAACCATAATACATTTTTTTTATGTAAATTTAAAAAGAACAGCATTTGTTTGAACTAGAAAGTTGTCATTACAATGTAACAGTCTTTACTGTCACTTTTGATTAATTTAATGCATCTTTGCTGAATAAAAGTATTCATTCATTTAAAAAATACCTTTGGAAGGTTAGTTTATGTTTTAGAGAAATCATTGCAAAAACTGCTTACTTATAGTTGTGTGTCCTCATTAAGAATGTATTTAGATGTAAAATAAATTGAGATTTAATTAATTTAAATAAAAAATTTTCCCTTTCTTTAGCACGTTTCCTTTATTGTAATAGTATGCATTCCTTTCTTCAGTGGCAGCTCAATAAACTGTGTCCCATTAGAGAGTGATAATGTGATGGTTATTGCAGAGTCAATAGACTGACGGAGCTGTAATAAAACGAGTAATGTCCCACAATACCCCCCCCCCAGGTTGCAGGTGCATAAAAAGCTGACTTTGTGCATTCTGGTTCGATGATATGTTGAGAAGAAGGGGCCTGTGGCAGGGGAGCTTATTAGGTAGTGTGTGTGTGTGAGCCAAAGCTTTTTGAAACTGAACATGCTGGTGTGAATTTGACTGAAAACTTTAAATGAACGTCCACTGCTATTTGTAATCAGTTCGATCTGTTGTTCTTCTTGTTTTTTCTTTTTCAACCATGTACATTCCTCCACTTCTTTCTCTTGTTTCTCAGGGTGTACCTGCAGTGGTCTTGCTGATGAATGTGTGTTTGATGCAGAGCAGTACCGCAGCACAGGAAGTGGGGGGCGCTGTGTTGGCTGCAGGGAAAACACAGTTGGCCCTCACTGTGAGAGATGCAGAGAGAACTTCTTTAGATCATTACCGCAGCAGCCCTCCTCTATCATATGGCAAATACAAAAGTGTCAGGCTGAGTCTGGTACATCTGTTATTCCAAATTAATTTAGTGGAAAACATTTTTAAGTTGTTGAAATAGTTGTTTGGGGAGGCAGAGGAATGTAACGGAAAGTAACATTGTAATGGAATGTAACGTTTAATGTTGTTTTATGTTGTTTAATTTATGGCTTATATTAAACATATTGTTTTAGAGTTTGTTACAGTTGTACATTTACTTAATTTTGCTTCCGTTATTTTAAGAAAGAAAAAGAAATCATTTCAATATTGAGCTGTGTACAGATTATATCCACCTGAGAAGATTTGCACTTTTCATATGCACAGTCAATGACGCAAATAATGGCATAATGCAGAAGAAAACACAGGAGAAAGGCAAACGTCAAACAAAAATTTTATACACCACTACACTTGGCCCATGTGGATCACTGTTTTTGGGTGCAAATTAGTTGGTTCACTGGAGCAAAACGTGAAAGAAAAGAGAGAGTGGAGGGAGGTTACTTGTCAGAGAATTATGGGTAATGGCAAGCCAGGTGAAACTGTGGAATCAGGCCATGTAGCAGATCATAGTGAGATTTAAAACAAACAAAAACAAACAAAAAGCAGTTCTGACCTGAGGCCATCAGCCAGCTGACCCGCACACTACACGCACATCAGTTGTGGCTCTCTCATCTTTATCAGCACTTTTTGTATATATATATTTTTTGTAATAGTTGAGATATACAGTGGGGTCCAAAAGAACTGAGAACACTTTTTTTTTTTTAAATAAGTTTTGGGATTTTGACCATTTTAAATAAGAGAAAAATTTGTGGTGCCAAATTATTTAGCAAAATTTTTGCACATTTTTCAGATCATTCAAACGGAATGATCAGATGTGTGATACTGATCATGTGACTCTTTGTATAGATTATCAGTTATTGCTTCCACCAAATGAAACCAAATACTAACACATTCTGAAATGTACAGAAATATAAATTTTACAATTTGTTATGCTGATCATTCAATTTGTGAAGAACATTTTTGTATTAAATCGTAAAAGGCTGCTCAATGGAAGCACTTTCACCAGTGACCTAAGACTTTGCTGTGTGTGCTCAGATCCAGATGGCTGGAAGGGTGTGTTCTCCGGAGGGTACGAGCAGTCCCTCATCTGGAAGGAGGGAGAAGTCTATCTGTTGCCCTACAGAGAGGAGAATGGCTTCTACAAAGCACCTGGTAGAACAACAAACATACACTTCCTCTTAGAACATGTGTTGGTACTGTAGGAGTTGGCCGGCTTTGAAACTGTTCTAGACTAGTTACCAGATTTACAGACTGCATCACGATTGTTTAGATGTTATGTGCTGCCAGTTAGAAAAATTTTACGACAAGGAAAATATCTACAAGCTAAACCTGTAAAATTGATTTACATGATTTACAATAAGTCTGTTCTTTTCTGAGCAACTCTACTAAGCTGAAACCACCATAGCTTACGGTTTGACTGCGTGTGGTAGTGTAATTTATTCGAAGCTTTCTTTTTTATGCAAACAAACAAACAGATGATAAACAATAGGGATGGGAAGATTCCCCGATTCGCTCGGTGCATCGGCATAAAAAGTTAACGATGCGATGCATCGGTTTAAAAAGTGTGCATCGGCTACAAGTTGGCATTTATATCGCGATGCATAGTTTCTAACATATTTGCATTGGTAAAAACTGATTTATTAATATAGAATTACTAGTGGATGCGCTATATTTTTATTGTTTAGAAAGTGACCAATAATCTGTGACCAATATTTTATATGTAGATTGATTTCTCTTCTCTAAACGGTTTCTCAAGTGCGTTCTCTCATTACTGCTGCTGCGTGATTGTGATGCATCACAACACTAAAGAGACCTGAGGAAAAGCGGGGATTAAAGTCCAAAACCTGACTTGAAATAACCTAACAATTCAATCGGGGCTAAAGCGGTTCCATAAATGACAAATTAAGCTCTCACAATCTCACTAATTTGTGCATGCTCATTCTTAAGCAGCCCTTAATGTCGATCATGGATAAAATCGATCTACCATGGCAAACAGCGAATATATCTGTGCTGTTTAATGCATTTGAGACGTTGTGTTTTCCTAAACAGACAGAGCGCAATCGAATAGGAGCACAATAATTCTGAGTAAAATATACATTTTGCTAAAATATTTGTTGTTGGACATTAAATGTGTCTTTTGTAGAATTTTAAACCTACATATAAGTGTATTGTTATGATAGCAGTAACTGTAAATGTAAGCTAGTTCAGTACTAATTACTCAGCTCAAATGAGTTCATGTGTGTTTCTTATAGCAGTTAAAATATAGTCATTTTCTTTATTATTTATTTTCATTTTTAATTCAGTGATTTTAACTTTTAATTTAGTTATTTTAATGCTTTAAAGAGCCGTTTTAGATTGTAATGTTCTGCTCTCTGTTCTGCAAACTATAAAAGGTACAGCTGTAATACAACCAGAGAGAAAGGCTGCATGGCTAGAAACTGTAAAAAAAAAAATTAAAAAAATTTAATTAAGTCAAATAATAGTATGTGAGAGAGTAGTAATATCATTGGATTGCTATTGGACAGTGTTAGAAAAACTCAGCTTAGTCTGACAGTTAACCTGCTTTAGACCAGGTCAGTTTCCCAGCATAATTTGCCACAGTCACTAAGCTTGATCTAGGCCCATGTTAAATTTGCTTTATGGAACCAAATCATTTGACAGTGAGTCAGACTAACTGAAATAAGCCTTATTAAAAGTGATCATATTTTCTCCATTGCATCATATTGCATCGAATCACAATGTTCTGAATCGAATCTAATCGAAATCGGATCGTAACAGGGGTGAATCGTATCGCTTCGCATCGGTAGCTACTTAATATGTATCTTTAATGTATCGTATCGTTGGCTATGCATTCGAGATGCATATCGTATCGGCCTGAGTCATGAGATGCATATCCCTAATAAACAATGGGCTAGAATTAGCATGCTTGGCCATAAATAGTATTTTATAGAGCAGCTTTTGAAGATAAACCAGCTGTACAGGCCAGTCCAGAGGCTAGTTTTAGTCCAAGTCCCCTGAGTGCAGTGGACAGGCTGAGGAGATTTACTCTTGTCTACACAGCGATTTACTGCCACAGGGAGACACTCAGTCTGACCAACTTGGCTGCTCACTCTGGGAGAAATCCTGTTAACATCACGTCTTCATGTCTCGCATTGTTTTTTGATGGATTACGTGCGGCACATAGATGAATACACACCAACACAACGTTACTGGACCGAATACTCTTAAAATACACGAATGTGGCTTTTTTGTGCTGCATAAATTGAATAGTAAGGTTCCTGATGTATCCACAAGGTCCTAATGCGCGTGTTTAGTCTCATCCATCTTTGTTTTCCCACCACTGACTGACCACAGAGATGCAGCATTGCCCTTTTGCAGCACTTGGTGCCGTTTCTCTTATCGCTGCGGCGCAGAGCTTGTTTGTGCTGTTCTGGCCACTCGGCTAAAATGCGCCGAGATCTATTGCTCCCTCGATGCATTTAACGATCTCATTTGCTCTCCTTCCCTCCCTCTGTTTTCCCACTCACTCGTTCGCATCTCCTCATTCATGTGCATTTGCTTTAGAGTACAGCCACCGAGACAACTGCAACAACACCCAAGGACTTTTTAGATTATCCTTTTAATGAACGTCACTCTCTTATTTGCGGCGTGCGCTTTATTTGCATCTTTAATGCTTTTTACACATCACTGGTCTCAGCAGAGAGGAGATTTCTATTTGAAGGAGGAACGTTTTCCTGATTAAGTCTGTCTTGAGTATTGGAAGGCGTTTAATAGATACTGCGAGTGTGTATTTGTGTGTGAATGTTTCACTAACACTTTAGTATAGGGACCAATTCTCACTATTAACTAGTTGCTTATTAGCATGCCTATTATTAACATATTGACTGTTTGTTAGTACTTATAAAGCATTTATTCTACATGAACATATTCAACATCCCTAATACTACACAATGCCTAAACTTAACAACTACCTTACTAACTATTAATAAGCAGCAAATTAGGATTTTATTGAGGGAAAAGTTGTAGTTAATGATTTGTTAATAGCGAGAATTGGACCTTAAAATAAAGTGTGACCAATGTCTCTTCACTTGAATAGCTCAACTAGTTGGGCACAGCTTTGGGCTTTTGACACTGCTGAGGCTGCCATGTCAACAGAGGGGTGAGACAAGATACCATAGCCAAGCAGCTAAGCCAAGAGTTTAGCTGGCTGACTGAGCCAGACTGTGTGTATGTGTGTGTGTCTGTTGTGTGATCTCCCCTGAGGTACATCTGCTCCATGGTGAGAGGACACAGTGGAACATTTATCATAGCTTTGAAGAGAAAACAACATGTCACACACACACACAAACACACACACATAAACACCTCCCAAAAGCTGGTCGCAAGCTGTCTCGGAGTCACAAACACAGATGGAGAGAAACGGAGGTCGCTGTGAGATTAGAGTTAGACAGGGATGGGTGTTGGAGGGAGATCTAAATGTCTTCCAACCTCAGAGAGATGCATCCAGGTACCACATTGTGTCCATGAACAACTTGGCCAGTGCACCCTGACAGCCAACCATATGCCTGGAATAAATCTCTCCGGCAATCAGGACTCACTGGTGAGACGTATCAAATGTGATCAACTGAGACAAGTGGCACAAATTATGCTCAATCCTTTAATCACTGAGATTGATGTTTAAAGCCAGGGTTTAATCGTAATATCCAACCCAACTTCTCCTCCAGTATGTACAATTGTACTGATTGTGAAATGCATAAATATCAATAGAAATAGAACTGCAGCAATAAGGCCAATTGCATCTGTGCCTCCTCTGTTAAAAGATCTGATATATGCCGCATTGATGCTGCTGCTGGGTCTTTTAGTACAGTGGGTGGCGTGGGATGACACCAGGAAAAAGTGCAAGCACACCTCACTGTGGTTGCAATGAGGTAAATACCGAATAAACACCTGATTTATAAGCATGTCCACCCTCACTGTCTGATCTGCCTCTCTTCTGTGTAACAGCTGGAGGATCTTCAGTGTGTTTTATCTAACTTAAAGGGATAGTTCACCTAAAAATTTAAATTGTGTCAGCATTTATTCACGCTTATGTTGTTCAAAACCAAGTGTGACTTACTTTCTTCTGCAGAACATGAAGATATTTTAAAGAATGTTGGTAAGAGTTTTGGTGACCACTGAATTCCATTTTCTGGACAAAAAATACAGCATGAGATTGAGTAAATGATGACAGAATTTTCATCTTAATCACTATCACTCAATCAGGGTAGATTTCATATGCAATATGATCCAAACAAAAATGAGGCTGTAAGAGATAGAAGTACAGTTTAATGTGTATTTGTTGTAGTGTGTACTGTATATGCTGTGATATTGATCAGTGTCAATCATGCAGGCAATAAAGCATTGAAAATATGTCTTTCCAACATGTTGTGGATTAAAGATATAACATTTATAAGTATAAATAATAATGTGAATAGTTTGATATAGTATTTTTTCCTTTTTTGTATTGTATTTATTTGTATTATTTGTGTAATTATGTACAGTATAAATAAATATATATTAAATAATACATATTTAATTAAAATTAAACTTATGCATTAAAAATAAATGTTTATTTTGTAGCATAATTCTATTCATATGAAATTATTGAGGTTAAAACAATTAGACATGACCTATGTGCTTAAAGGGATAGTTCACTCAAAAAAAATTAAATCATGCCATTTTAAATCCGTATGACTTTCTTCTGTGGAACATTAAAAGAAGATATTTTGAAAAAAAAATTCAGTGTTGTTGTTGTTTTATCAATACAATGTAAGTCAAGACTGTTACCAACCAACTGGTTACCAACATTTTTGCAAAATATCTTCTTTAGTGCTCCACGGAAGAAAATAAATGGCATACATTAATTTTGGAACCAAATGAGTAAATGATGACAGAATATTCATTTTTCTATCTTTTATTCTATTTTCTATCCATTTAAGATAGTGCTGAATGGACTGATCTCACAGCCTTGCTTTCATTTGCATCAAATTGACTATGCCGTCTAACTGGACTTAGTTTTATTGCAACTGTTTAAACATTGAATGTTAAAAATAACATTGTTTCATTTCCATTGCTTTATAGATTATTTCTTAGCATTCTGCCCTTTAAAGTACAAACCCCAGAAAGATGTAGAAAATGCATTTCAGCAGGCCTCTCCCTATAAAAATGACCCAGATGCTCAATCCATCCCCTCAGAGGGACTGTTTGTGTGAAGCTGAGGAAATTTAATTGAGGCTCAGTGGGTTTAATTGAGTCAGGGAAAAGTTAAAGCCTGGATTGATTGTTAAGTTTGATAGTAGCTCACTAAATGTCACCAGGCTTTGTCGTTGTGGTGACAATTAATTTGTTTGTCTGAGAGAGGGTTAACACCTCCATTTATTCAAATCTGATCTTGAAGAGATGGGAGTTAAACAGGTAGCGCTGAAACCTATGAGGGATAGTGTATTGTTTTGAACCGCTAACACTACTGACTATATTTTCTCATTTATAGCTTCAGTTGTTCCACCAAGATTGTCGAGGGTCTCCGAAGAATCTGTTTCAGGTGTTGGAAGAAAAACACCCACTGTAGATATTTTTTTTTCCCAAGTAAAAATTTGCCTCAGCATCTCTACGGGTGCCGGAGTTTGTGAATATGCTCTCATAGGGAAGGTTTCAGCGTGCTGTCAGACCTAAAAGCAACAGGAATCCAACAGGTACAGAAGATTTTAGCCTCCTTTTGTTGAAGTTGACTCATTCTTGTCTCTGCATGTGGAACGGCAGGGGGGTGGAGAAGAAAAAACACTCCTGCTAAGCTCCTAACAAGCTTTCAGGTTGTCGGGGTTTAGAATGTTTTGCAGCTCTTTGTTTCAGGTGAAGCATGCGGTGCCGTGCATGTATTTCAGCTTCAGATCGATGGTGAAGAGATTATGGGAATAAGAATCTCTTAGGGGTGCCACATAATGGTCCAATGAGAGATTTGATCCCACAGAGTGGCCAGTGCTTTAGGTTATAAGAAGGACAATCATTTTGCTGATTTGTGTGTTGAGTGTGTATGCAAAGAATTATGAGTTGCCACATATGCCATTACAACTGCAAAATCACAATTAGACAAGTAAATGGTTTGAAAGTGTGTACTGATTGAAATGTTGGAACATTTTAATATATTCTGTTATTTTACACATTAAATCAGATATCCTAGATGGGTGAGTAATGAATGTGAGATGCAGTGTCTAGAGAGCCCTTTTTTTTTAAATATTCACTTCTTTTGCTTTGTCAAAAGATACAAAAGGCAAGCTTTGTGAATGGCCCATAAGACAGAAGTATTGAGAAAGAAAGAAAGAAAGAAAGGGAAGGGCTGACATCACTGAACCGCTATCACAGCACAACCACTATCTCCAAGCAGAGCATCTAATCACCACCAGCAGGTATAGACATTTCTCTCAATGTCCCAATACAATAAAACTATTTTACTGTAACCACTGGCTATTCTAGTGTCTGGGCAAAAATTTTACAGTCCGTCTTTCCCTTAGCTCACCCTCTCCATCCTATTCTATCACATTTTTCACAGCTATTACTTTTGCTTTATGTCCTGAGATGTGTAACTCATCTCTGGAAAATATACTTCGACTGAAGCAAGCATTAACTTCTGTGAGGAGTAAAGAATAACCGGCTACAGATACAGTGGCCCCAAGGAGGAATTACAGTCCTGCGAGACCCCCAGGGCACCAGCTGCTTGGAGGCACCCCATCAAAAACAAATAATTAAACTCACTCACACACACATACACACCTTGGGATGGGTGTAAGCATTATTTAAAAGGGTGTGCAGTGTGAGAACTTAAAAAGAGTTCAAATAAGATAAAACAAGATTTTTATGGTATTTTTTAATAATCGATTTTCATTCTGCAGGGAATTTTGCCTCAATCATAATTTTGACTTTATATCTCAGAATTCCTTCTCATAATTGCAGTTTTATTTTAGCTGACACTTTTATTATATATTAAAATATTATATATCAATTATTATATGTTGGACTCAATAACTTTGTTTTGCATTGCTGTGCACCTTTCATTTATTTATTTTAACAATATTTTGACACATTCAAGTGCTGTTTGCTATATCACTTTTACATTTGCTGTGCCTTGTTTTCAGTGTCAGGTCACTGTAGGCATCTCAACTTGAAGCTCCTGGAGGCAAGAATCCATACTTGAGTGACCCAAACTAACAAAAACTTTAAATGTCATATTTCAAGGCTATTGTTCATGCATAATAGAATAGGATGGCCTAACTTTTGCAATGCTCAAAAACAAATTAAGCATTTTTTTGCATCATGCTAATTCATTTGGAATGCATTAAAAAGGCATTTGCATTTTTCTACATAAAGCCACTATGTTTGCACAAACATAAAATGTAACCTCAGAAAATAGATAAAGCCACTGCACAGTATCTGTACATAGTACAAGAACACCAGTCCTGTGCTATTGAATTTAGAAAAGAGATTCAGTGCCATATGCTGCTGCATTCTCTACTGGTATTGTAAATACTATTTCTACAAGAGGAATGTAGTAGAGCTAATGGCAAGCTTGACTACTGATGCTATTTAAAATGTGCCTACTACTTAACCACTCTGGCCTTTTCTGTATTACAGACTTATTCAATGGAGATGACTTTATGAGTCACAAAAGTTTAGTGCTTTAGGCCTAACAGTAGGTTAATAAGAGCAGGCATTTTGTTATTTGTCACACACACACACAGATAGATAGAGATAATTTTCTGTAAGGGTTAGGTTTAGGTGTAGGGCGATAGAAAATACAGTTTGTTCAGTATAAAAACCATTATGCCTATGGAGAGTCCCCGTAAGCCCCTGTGTGTGTGTGTGTGTGTGTGTGTGTGTGTGTGTGTGTGTCCATGCATGTGAATTTTTTTGGAAGCTCAACATGGGGTTCTTTGAAGTCTTGTTAAAGCTCTTTAATGATGCTGGATGATATGAGTGGCAATTATGGTCATCCTCTTACACTCACTTGCATATAGAGATGTACAAACACAATGAGATCAGAGAGATTCTGAACATTGAACATTTGTGAACTGAACATTTTATTTTCCTATTATATTTTTACAGTTGTTATCTTTCATGGTCACACACTCTTCATTGTGCCGGTGTTTATCTTTGGTAATCGGGTCGTTGCGGCTCAGTGGCTGGTGTAATGTGCTGGTAATCTGCAGGTTGTGAGTTTGTGTTCCAGAAAATTCTGTGCTGCCCTTGAGAAAACCACTTAACTCAATTCACAGCCCAGCTGTTGCTATCAGATAGATGTTACACACATGCTTGCTTAATCAAACCATGGTCATGCAAATTGGAATATGCATGGTAAGTGTTAAATGTTTTATCTTTATATTGCAGATAAATATCTGGGGAACAGGTTGCTAAGTTACGGACGGACCCTTAGCCTGTCATTTACGGCTGAGCTGGAGGAGCTCTTGCCCAGAAGTGTGACCGTGACACTGGAGGGCTTCGGAATATTGGTTACTGCTGATTTGTACTCTCAACAGAAGACTTATTCCTCATTGGAAAAGACACCCATCAACATTTTCACTCTAAGGTGTGTGTGTGAGTGAGTGTGTTATTCCCAACTATTTGCTAACATGTGGGCAGATATTGAATGCATTTCTAAAATATGGGGTAACACTTCAGATTAGGGAACACATATTCACTATTAACTAAGAGTTTTCCCTCAATAAACTCCAAATTTGCTGCTTATTAATAGTTTATAACTTAGTTGTTAAGTTTAGGTTTGGGGTCGGGTTAAAGGATCTAAAACATGGTCATGCAGAATAAGACATTAATATGTGTCTAATAAGTACTAATAAACAGCCAATATGCTAGTAATCTGCATTCTAATAAGAAACTAGTTAGAAGTGAGAATTGGACCTTAAAGTGTTACCAAATATGGCACATGGGTTAAAAGGGATTCAAAGATCAGATTTGGCTTGAACATTTCAAATTGAAACTACATGGTAGTCTGGCATGCATTTATCTTAAATTTCACGGTGCTTATGTAAATCGACAGGAATCGTTTAATCAGATCACTTCTCTGCCTTTGCTCATGTACTATACGACAACTGATTGTATAATGAGAGGCAACGGGTAATTTTGGCCTCATCTGTACTTCATATAAATACATTGCAGATAAAGTAAGAGTAGTGTACTGTACCAAATTTAGCCAAGATTTTAAGTAGGTGTTTAAAGCAATGTAATTGAAAGGGCAAAGACAATGTGCTTATTTGATTTGCCTCTAATTATGCCTCATTGTATGCTGTTAGCAATGATCTGATCACTTTGTGTGAATAATTATGCCAAACAATCTTCCCACATAATATATACATATATTTTGTGATTTTACGTTTTCATTGCTCTCTGGAATCCTTTATCCTGCTTTTAAGAGTGGATGCAGGTACTTTCCTTCACCAATTTTGTCACATAGCATATATCTTAAGCCTTCTGTAAATCTTTTTATGCAAAATTAAAACTGTGAAAAGAGAAATTAGACTTCTCTAAAGCAATTATTCACTATACTATTTCTTACTTTCATCCTTATTCTAGTTGGTAATCTGAACACTCTTAACATTTTGTATTGACATATTTCTTATGTTACTGCCTCTTTAGGATGAATCACTTTGCTGTATTCCTTATTTGTAATAAATTAATAAATGTAAATATAATTGTACAAATCAAAAGGCATGTAACATTTCACACAAATCAGAGGACAACCAAAAAAACACAATGGCTTGCCAGAAACCACTGACTCTAATATCAGGTGGTAAACCACAAAATAGAATATAAACTAAACATAAAGTTATTTAGGAACATTTGCAGACAGGTTCACATCATGTTCAAATTCAATAAGAATACTGTTGTTCATGTTACTAATGAGGATGTTCATTGCATTTCAACATGAATGTAGAACCTGTGATAGGTGAAAAGATGCCAGATTTATCACAGGATTGAGCTTTCTGCTTAAAAATATATTGTAGTTGTTCTCATGAAAGTGCTAGAGTTATAATTTCTTCGTGCAGTACTGCTAAAAGCTGGTTATTACAGTAATTAATACACCATTTTAACCTGTCTTTAGCACTGACAACTTTAAAAAAAAACATCTTAAAGGGTTAGTCAACCCAAAAATGAAAATTCTGTCATTAATTACTCACCCTCATGTCGTTCCAAACCCGTAAGACCTTCGTTCATCTTCTGAACTCAAATTAAGATATTTTTGATGAAATCCGAGAGCTTTCTGACCCTGCATAGACAGCAATGGAACTGAAACATTTTATAGTTCAGAAAGTTAGTAAGGACATCGTTAAAATAATCCATGTGACATCAGTGCTTCAACCGTAAGTTTACGAAGCTACGAGAATACTTTTTGTGCACAAAGAAAACAAAAATAACTTCATTCAACAATTTCTTCTTTTCCGTGTCAGTCTTCACCATGCGTTTAGGAGAGTACGGTACCACGTCACGTGTGTGGTGCTGCCAACGCAGGAGCCAGCATCCTGATGAAGAACCCTGATGCGCTTCACCTTGTTTGCAAGCAGAAGACGACGCACGCTGTACATAAAACAGTCTTCGTAAACATGTCTGAAGATTTCAACAGAGAGGATGACTTGCAATTTTATTTGAACCAGAATATACAGACGATGAACTAAGAGAGATGGACGTTCTACGTCAGAACACCGGCTCCTGTGTCAGCAGCATCACACGCATACGTTACGGTACTCTCCTGAACACACGTCGAAGACTGACACAGAAGAGAAGAAATTGTTGAATAAAGTCATTATTTTTGTTTTCTTTGCACACAAAACGTATTCTCGTAGCTTCATAAAATTACGGTTGAACCACTGATGTCACATGGACTATTTTATCGATGTCCTTACTACCTTTCTGGGCTTTGAACGTGTCAAATCCATTGCTGTCTACACTCTTAAAAATAAAGTGCTTCAAAAGGTTCTTCACAGCGATGCCATAGAACAGGGATCCTCAAATCTGGCCCACGAGATCCACTTTCCTGCAGAGTTTAGCTCTAACCCTAATCAAACACACCTGAGCATGCTAATCAATGTCTTCAGGATCATTCGAAAATCACAGGTAGCTGAGTTTGATCAGGGTTGGAGCTAAACTCTGCAGCGCATTGGACCTCCAGGGTAAGATTTGAGGAACCCTGCCATAGAAGAACCATTTTTGGTTCCACAAAGAACCATTCAGTCAAAGCTTCTTTAAAGAACCATCTCTTTCTTACCTTTTTGTAATCTGAAGAACCTTTTTTCAACACAAAGAACCTTTTGTGAAACAGAAAGGTTCTTCAGATGTTAAAGGTTCTTTATGCAACCATTTAGACAAAAATGTTCTTCTATGGCATCGTGAAGCATCTTTATTTTTAAGAGTGTATGCAGGATCAGAAAGCTCTCGGATTTCATCAAAAATATCTTCATTTGTGTACCGAAGAGGAACGAAGGTCTTATTGGTTTGGAACGACATGAGGATGAGTAATTAATAACAGAATTTACATTTTTGGGTGAACTATCCCTTTAATACCAGGTGGAAACAGAGCTATGTTATAGGGGAGAATTGAGTAGCAGTGATTTGCTTAAAATAAGTTTTCTTTTGTGTTTTTGTTGGAAGGTATTTCAGTTTCTATGGCAGCCTGAAACATTTGCCCTCTGAGACCACGTGGCTTATTATCAAGTATTTATTTTTTTGCAATTACAAATGTGTGAATGACATGAATAAACATCAGAAAACAGTTGTGATTTCAGTCATGCAATATTATGTACATCTGTCAGCATATGGTAGTTTTGACAGGCACTTTCCTACCAGAGTGACAAGAAAATTCATATATTTTGTGACTCATTCATACAGAGAGGCTTTCCTTATTCCGTCGGCTGGAATTGACTAAACCTAGTGTGCCTTAATGAAGAGCCTCAGTTTTTTCAGTAAATAAACTCTGAGGAGCGGTCCTTTCTAGGTGCTGATCCACCATCTGGTCTGAATACGTACTGGATCCGGGTGATTGCAGTGGCCATCTGATCTGGATACAGACTGGATCTGGTGGCTACGGTGACCTCGAAATGAGAGAGAAACAGACTAATATTAGCGTAGATGCCATTCTTCTAGTGATGTAGCAAGTACATCGGTTGTTATGGGAAGTGTTCCTGGTTCTGGTTGACCTAATTAATGCAGCCTAACAATCCTTTAACGGATTTGAATATTAGAAGCATATTAGTGTGTTATGTGTAGGCCAGGTTAAAGAGATGGGTCTTTAATCTAGATTTAAACTGCAAGAGTGTGTCTGCCTCCCGAACAATGTTAGGTAGTTTATTCCAGTGTTTGGGCGCAAATGGTCAAGTCAAGTTTATTTGTACAGTGCTTTTCACCATACAAATCATTGCAAAGCAACTTTACAGCCAATTAAGTTTCTACAATATTTAGTGGTAGTTTATCAGTGGTGACTGTCAGTTAATGTACATATGGCAGAAATGTACGGAAAAATCAATTTAAGACGTAATAAAACAGACAATGAACACTATTAACAGCAATTATTATATGATGGAATCAAACTTATAGCAAAATGTGGTGAAATGTTGTTTCAGGGTTGGCATCATCTGAGGTCCTTTGAGAGGTTGGCATCATCTCTTCTCAGGTGTTCTGGATCCAGACTGAAGCTTGTGTAAATCCTAGTTACATCCCATGGCAAAAAACTGAGAAACAAATAGAGACATAATTAGCGTAGCTGCTGTTCCAACCAAGCAAAATTGATTTGTTTAACCCAAACTAAAGAATAATAATGTGCATTTGATCAGATATAACTGCAGTAAAAGATTATGAGATGCATTATTTTAATGATTGGCCAAAGATGTGTGTCTTTAATCTAGATTTAAACAGAGAGAGTGTGTCTGAACCCCGAACGTTATCAGGAAGGCTATTCCAGAGTTTAATTTAATAGGATAAAATTATTGGTCATCCAATCTTTTACATTTTTAACACACTCTGATAATTTAGAAGTTTCATCTGGTCTTGTTGAGATATATAGTTGAGTATCATCGGCATAACAGTGGAAACTAATCCCGTATTTCCTAATAATATTACCAAGTGGCAACATGTATATCGAAAATAGCAGAGGACCTAGGATAGATCCTTGTGGCACTCCATATTTTACTGGTGATAATTGAGATGACTCCCCATTTAAATGAACAAGGTGGTAGCGATCGGACAGGTAGGATCTAAACCATCTTAAAGTCTGCCCTTGAATACCTGTATAGTTTTGTAATCGATCTATGAGTATGTCATGAACTATAGTATCGAACGCAGCACTAAGATCAAGTAAAACTAGCAATGAGAGACAGCCTTGGTCTGACGCAAGAAGCAAGTCATTTGTAATTTTAACAAGTGCAGTTTCTGTGCTATGGTGGGGCCTGAAACTAAATGAAATTCTTCATAGAGATATTTTTTGCAGGAAGGAGCACAATTGAGCAGACACAACTTTTTCTAAAATTTTAGACATAAAAGCAAGATTTGAGATGGGTCTGTAATTTGCCAGTTCACTAGGATCTAGTTGTGATTTCTTAATAAGTGGCTTAATAACCGCCAGCTTGAATGGTTTTGGGACGTGACCTAAAGACAATGACGAGTTAATAATATTGAGAAGCGGTTCTTCTGCTACAGGTACAGGTTTACTCTAGAAAAACACTACAGTAGTTATTATAGCAGACAAAATCACATGTTTCTAACTATGATCTCTGCTTTCTGGTTTCCAGGTTAACAGAGAAGAGCGTAAAACCATCTATTGCCCCATTTGAGTTTCTCCGAATGCTTTACAGTCTAACTGCACTACATATCAGCAATGCAGGGGGCCAGAACTGTAAGTCATTGTTTATATATCTATGTGTGTGTTACACATTTGTGTAAGGAAAAGACTGAAATGATACAGAAATGCAATCATTAAAGACTAAAAGAAATTGATTTAAAATGGCAAGAGAACATGCGTCTTGAACTTGGCAGTATGAACTGTACTGTAATCAGCCATTGATTAGTAGTCTAGAGAAGCCTGTAACTTTGGTCATGCCCCACAATTCGTTCCTGTGATTGCCTTTCATTGTGGCATGATTTCTGTGCTGTTTAGACTGAATTGCAAAGTGGCATAATTGAGATATATAGTATGCAGTGATGTACCTAATCAACTTGCCAAGTGGAAAGTGTCACACACTGAAATACAAAATAGCTTCTGGCATGAATTCAATGTTTTATTTCTTTAAACATAAATCACCATATGCTGATTTCCCTTTAACAGGTTATTTTTTGACATTAAAAACAATAATGTAATGATAATTTTGCTTTTAAAGGGGTCATATGATGTTGCTAAAAAGAACATTATTTTGTGTATTTGGTGTAATGAAATGTGCGGTTTAAGGGTTTAAGGTTAAAAAAACACATTATTTCCCACATACTGCATATTATTGTTGCTCCTCTATGCCCAGTCTTTCCGAAACACGTCGATTTTTACAAAGCTCATCGCTCTGAAAAGCGAGGTGTGCTCTGATTGGCCAGCTATCCAGTGCGTTGTGATTGGCTGAATACCTCAAGCGTGTGAGGGAAATGTTATTCCCCTTACCATATTGTGATGCTCTGTCCGGCCGGAGCGACGAGACAAAACCAATAAAACACATTATAAACGAGGTATTTGTTACATCCAGTGGGGACATAATTACTGATTATAATGACTTATACTGTCTTTTTACGTGTTGCGTTGCATCGTGCCACGTAAACATAAAACCATATCTGCATTTGTGATCGGAGAAATTACAAACCACAAGCCCTACTCTACACTGCTCAAAACTCGCATTTGAATCATCAGTAGCAAATTCTTTAAATATGAAAATGTACTTACAGACTGTGAGTCAGCATTATTTGTCAGCATCATAGACTGTATAGGGTCAGCATGCGCGCCGAAGAGGAAACAGGGGAACTGAATTCACTGGAACACCGGCATTGTAGTCTACTCTCCCAGGATCAGGAAGCAGTCCTCCATAAAATACGATGCACACATCTGAATATTTGGGTTGAAGTGTTCTGGAGCAGTGTTGTAAATACAACTTAACAACTGATTTCTAGTCGTGTCCTCTTTTGGAAGGCCAAACAAAGTATTTTCACTTTCACAACGAAACACAGCATCTTCACAACATGGTGGCAGCTACAATAAAGTTACGCCTTCTTTCTTTGCGTGAACATTTGGGCGGCGTTATGCAAATCTTCCCACACAGTGACGTAGACATGTGGGGGCGTGTTTAAACGAGGCGTTTTAGGAGGGCGTGGACCAGTCTTAACTTTTATAAAGAATATCTCTTTGGGTTTGAGACTTTAGTCTTTGCAACTTTAGGGATATTATCTATTCTCGAACAGCTTGTAACACTCCAAAGAGAAAGGAAAACTTGAAAACGCATCATATGACCGCTTTAATTCTGGAAAATGAATGAAAATTAGGTAGCTTACCTCGTAAAAAAGTTATATATTTAAAATACAGTACATTTATTTTACATTTCTTAATATTAAGCCTAAAATGTGTTTTAATGACTCTATTGATAAAATATTGACATTATTGATGAGGATTGTATGATCTTTGAATAACATTGGTATTTAAATGCAAGATATTTAAAGTGTACCTAAAGTATACTTGCAATAGTTCCACTTTAGCACAATCAGATATACTTAAGTATATCTTTAGTTGGACTTCAGCACTACTTCCGCACAATTAAAGTGCATTAAGTGTAAATTTAGTTGTTCCAATTTAGCAGACTTTAAGTATACCAGTTTAGTATACCAAAAGTACAATTGCAGGGTATTTACTATTTATTACTACACCATTAATTACTACACCATTTTCACATGTATTTAGCCCTGACCATTTAAAAAAAGAAAAGAAAAAAAGGCATCTTAACATCAGGTGGAAACAGGGTTATGTTATAGGGAAAAGTTTGTGTGAGTTTCTTAAAATAAGTTTTCTTTTATGTTTTCGTTGGAAGGTGTTTCAGTTTCCATGGCAAACTGAAACATTTGCCCACTGAGACCACGTGACTTATTATCAAGTATTTTTTTATATAATTATAAATGTGTGAACAACATGAATAAACATCAGAAAACAATTGTGGTTTCAGTCATGACATCTCTGTGTGTGTGTGTGTGTGTATGTGTGTGTGTGTGTGTGTGTGTGTGTGTGTGTGTGTGTGTGTGTGTGTGTGTGTGTGTGTGTGTGTGCAACATTATGTGCGTCTTGTCAGCATATGGCAATTTTACTTGGCAGTGTTTTCTGCTAACCTGAAGCTTTTTCTTTTCATAGATGCTTTTTACATTCGCATTTGTTGTGTGTCTTCATTCAGGATATAGTAAGGAGCTGTAGAAAATGGCTATAAGAGGAGACTAAACTCGTCTCCGTGTACGTCCCTGCTGGGCAACACTTACACATACATGCAGCATAGAGTTTGAGACAAACAGTGTGATTCTATGGGGGAGCATTACTGTGAATATATCTTCTCTCTCACACACTCATGTACACATGATAATCAGTTTGTCTGTATACGACTGCACACACGCAAATGCCGGTGTCTCTCAAAAGCGCACATAAACATTAGTCTTCCTGGCCATGTCCAGATATGAAAGTTGGGAAGTTGAGACAATAGGACACAGAGACCCTGGAGAAAGATAGTGATGAGGTGAGAGAGAAATTTGATCTGTGTACAATCCCCCTCTATCACTATTTATGAGGCGGTGTGGATCCCTGAGAGAAACAAAGACCCACTCACCTTCACCATGTTCCACCTCTCCCCACTCAGCCCTTATTGATTAATTCATTCCTTGTTCATTTATTCATATGGTGATCAAAGATTCTATCTGCTTGCACCCAGTGGTCCTGATGTCTGTCTGTGTGTAAGCAAAGGTGAGAGAGAGGCAGAGGGGAGCTTTAGCAGGCAGGCTAGCTAAGCTAGATCGTGAGGGCAATTATAAGTGGACGGGACACAGTGATTTCACATTCAGTGTAGATTCATGGTGGAATGCTCTTTTCAAAGAATCCCTCTTTGCCTTAAAAAAAAACACTTTTCCATGAGCACTCTTAAAAAAACTTGTTTTTCTGTCACACAATGTCTTACATATCTTTACTGTTACGGCATTTCTTTGCACCCCAACGATTAGAAGCTTTGTTTATTTATTCATTTATTTGTTTGTTTGTTTGTTTGCACTACTGTTCGACAGTTTAGGGTTGGTAAGGGTTTTTTTTTTTGTTAGGTTTTTTTTGCTTTTTTAAAATGACTCAACAATACCACAAAACAGTAATATTGTAAAATATTATTACAGTTTAAAATACCTTTTTACTATTGTAATATATGTAAAAATGTAATTTATTCCTGTGAAGGTGAAGCTGAATTTTCAGCAGTCATTACTCCATTCTTCTGTGTCACATGATCCTTCAGAAATTATTCTAATATTCTAATTCAAATTATTCTAATATCTAATGTGCTCAAGAAACATATTTTTTAATTATAATAATAATTATTATTATCAATGTTGAAAATGGTTGTGCTGCTTAATATTTCTGTGGAAATTGTGAAACATTTTTAAAGATTCTTTGAATGAACAGAAAGTTCTAAATAAAAGCTTTTATTTGAAATAGAATTTGTAATATACATCTTTACTGTCACTTTTGTCAATTTAATGTGTTTTTGCTGAATAAATCACTTAATTTCTTGAAGAAAAAAAATTGTACCTGTCTCAAGCTTTTAAACTGTAGTGTATTTATGTATTTATAAGTATGTTGTACAATTATTGTAAGTGATTTTTTTTTTCTTGTTTACAGACACCTCTCAAATCTCCAGGGTAAGCCTTGAATCTGCAGTCCGGAAAAACGACATTATGGCCCCACATGCTTCATGGGTGGAGGAGTGTACTTGTCCCACAGGATTCACTGGGCAGTTCTGTGAACGCTGTGCTCCTGGATTCACCAGGGAAACCCCTAATGGTGGAACCTTCTCCCCTTGTGTACCTTGCAACTGCAATCAACATGGAACCTGCCATGCTGAGACAGGTTGGGAGTGTGTTTGTTTGTTAGCATGCAGTCTGTACACAACATTCATGCAGGGTGTCATCCAATGATACAACATATACTGTTTCCCCACCATAGTAATGTTTCTTGGTTTCACCTGTAGACAGATATTTTCCGTATAGATACACTCATCTTCAAAAATTTGGAAACACTAATACATTGTTGTTGTTTTGGGGAGAAAATGACACTTATTCACTAAGGATTCGATTCATCCATGCATTTCTAATCATTTATCATGTAAGTGTCAGATGTGGCTTTTTCTTTGAGCTCTTTCTAAAGGCCAGCAGCATCTCGGCATCTTTTCTTGACTGCTGCAGACAAAGCTGGTGTTTAGCATGTGCTGTTCAATGAAGCTTCCAGCTAAGCATCAGTGAGGGGTCTCTTTCTCAAACAACAGACTCTTATGTATTCCCCATTTTGTTGTAAATCTGGGCTGTGCACTTCTCTCCCCTGTGCTGGTTAGATCCTCTTTGCTTTGTTATTTTGTTCCTGTGTACAGAATTGCCTTCATCTCTCAAAAGAACAATAGAATGACTAGAAAAGTGTGTTTGTGTTGGGCCTTTTATAAAACCAAAATGTCAAAAGTAACATTGTACAGTGACTAGCAAGAAATGCAAGTATATGCACTACTTTAACAACTGAAAGAAGACTCGGTACTGCATAGTTCATTTCCACCGTTCATTAAGCAACACAACCATTTTCAACTGTGCTAATTAGGGATGTAATGATTAACTGCGAGCCGATTGAAAATCGATTAAAATATGTGACGATTCAAATCGGTTGAGATGCTAAACAAATCGCGTTTAGGTGTAGGAGTTTATAAGAATCCATGTCTGAGGGGAACTTACTGTCTTTAGAAAAGTTTAGATGGTATTTTTTCTTTTCATCTTGCCTCTGTATAATGCATATTAAAGTTCATAATTGCAGCGCTGCTTTGTTTACAGCGGAAACCAGGAAACGCTTTATGCGCCACCTGCTGGCAGAGAGTGAATCTGCGTCTCTCATTCAGCTCGTCCGCTGTTTCATGCAGATATTTTTTATGTATAGTTTCACAAAACTGAACTCAAAACATTCTGTTTTTGCTTCAAATTTCGAAATTATACAATCTATTTTAGATGAAAACTGCTCATGTTGCATGTATGCAGCATCTTTGTTTTGATTGTGATTCAAATGCAGTGGTTGCCTCTAATTTTAAATGGAAAGAGCACAGACAAAACATTATTTTGTTTATATGAAGAGATTTATTTTATTTGTGTTACTTATTTATTTGATTTGGGGCTTGTTTTACAATTTCAATTTAGTTTTGTTATTTACATTTACGTTATATTTAAATTTTGTAATTTAGCAGACGCTTTTGTCCAAAGCGACTTACAAATGAGGACAATAGAAGCAATCAAAACCAACAAAAGAGCAGTAATATACAAGTGCTATATTAGTATATTATTATAGTGTTATATTTCAATTTGACAAAGAAATGTGCAGCATTTTGTCCAAGCAATAATAAAAGGACACATTTAATTTATAATTTGTCTTAAATCTCATTGTGTTAAAAAAAAAATTGTGAATCGAATCGAATCGTGAAATCAAATTCGTGAATCGAATTGAATCGTGAGTTGAGTGAATCGTTACATCCCTAGTGCTAATAATAAGAAAAGTCTTACAAAGAATACAAAAGAATATTCAAAAGAATACAAATCAGCTCATTAAATGGATTTCTTAAGGATCATATAGCACAAGGTTTTCTTCGTAGACTGGTGTAATGGCTGCTGAAAATGGGCTTTTATATATATATATATATACAGTATATGATATAGTATAATATATATATATGAAGAGTTCAGATGCAAAAGCCTCTAAGTGATATATATATATATATATATCTGTATATATATATCAGCATTTATTTTAAATAGATTTTTTTTGTAACATTATAAATGTCTTTTCTTTCGCTTTTGATCAACTTCATGCATCCTTGCTAAATAAAAGTATTAATTTCTTTCAAACAATAAAAAAAAACTGACCCCAAACTTTTGAGTGGTAGATATAATTTTAGATACCTAAAATTATAGCAAAAAAAAAATCATATAAATAGTTCAGTCATGAAACTCTAGATGGCGCAGGCTGACGGGGTGTTAACTTAACTGATGATATTCAGAGAGTTAAACGACTTGGCACAAGCTGATTGGTTCATTCTGCATATGCAGCCAATGAGCTTACTGCCTTGCATTTATATGGCTGACTAGCATTCACTTGAGATTCCTGCAGCGCGCTTTGAGAGTTTCTCTGAAACCCTCCACCTTCCCCAGCTCCACCTGTATAGATCTGGTACGGCTTATTTTATATGCTATTTGTGCAGCAGCAGTATGTCTTAAATACTCATGGCACCGTATCGCCTTATGCATTGGCAGTAGCAAGTTCCTGTACTTGCTTGCAGCAGCAGTAATAATCTACAACTACAGCAATAACCAATAGCAGCAGCAATTCAGCAGCAGCGTAGCAGATCTATTCCGCCAAGACCAAATACATTAACATTGTCATATCCATCACCATGCTAAAATCTTTAGAGAGTTATCATGATTGAACTTACATTTATTTTAAACGGTAATAATTTTAAACTGTAAGTGCTACATTGGTGAACAGAATGATGAATTTCCTTCAACCAATGTCTTTAGTGTTTTTCTAAATTTTAAATAGTGTTGTAGTAGTAGACCTACAAGTACAGTTCCTATTTCTTCTAGATCAAAAAGCCCAGAACTTCTATTCATACAGCCACTATATTGACTGCTTCAATTTCTCCATTTATCTGCAAGTGGGCTGCTTTTACTGTCTCTGACTGTAGGCTTCCAAATACATTTTTATACCTCCAGCTCACTCAAATGTTCCTCTCACAATCCTTTTCTTGTTCCTGTCATTTTCTGTACTGCTTCCCTTGTTCCTTTCTCACTTTTTCATTCCTCCTCTTGTTCTTTCCGTGACCCCATTAACAGCTAGAATGGCAGGCCGTCTTTCTGTACAGGGTAGATAGAGTTCATTCTCGCTTCTCTCTCCTCTATTAGACTCGCGAGCCAGCCACCAGCTAATTAATTGTAATGTCGATTGCACAACAAAGAGTGTTTGTTTGTGTGCGTCTCCTTTCAGCGACGACTCCTGGCATGGATTTGAGCATTTGTTCTCCCATCTTTCTCTGTCTCGCCCGCTTTGACTGTCTCTCTTTCACACTGATGAGTAATTTCACTCTTTTAATATGCGGCAAATTAAACCTCCATCGTTCTTATTATGAGCGTAATGTGTGATTAGTTTGGTACAAGTCTTTAACATTGCAAATTAATGTCAGACATGACTTTATCTACCACTCGGGGTAGGCGAAAGGACAGATGAGAGCAAGCGATTTGCATGTGTGAGAAAAAGGGAGAGAATGGAAGGAAGAAGGAAAGAGGGAATCAAAGCAAAAGGAGCTCAAGGGGGGCGAAAGATCGAACGAATGTATGCACAGGAAATCTCCACCTCCCAGGAGAACAGGAGGAGCCCGCTCCTTTTATTTATTTATGAACCTGTTTAACTTCAAAGCAGATTTCGCCTAAGTCACAGCGGGCGCTGTTCATTGTCATTTAACTGCTTAAATATTTTCCAGGTTTGGAAATAGAACGAGGCCCGCAAGGTCCCTGTTGAAAACCAGCACGCTTATCATTAGCATATGCATACATCACTCTTCATTTTTCTCAGCACCAAAAACCAAATTGTGTTTTAATCTCATTTCGTATCCGTAAGCCTAATTATGTTTTTGTTATTCCTTTGATGAGCATTAATTCAGTCTCATTTCTGCATCAGGAAGGGATTGTGCACTGACAGGCCACGCCCCTTTGATTTATAATTTTTTTTCGAAAGAAAGGGTGTTCCTCAAGGTAATGTAATATGGTTGTAATAGGCTGTTAATTGGTTATTAGTCTTGTCACTCAGCACAGGTGTTGTTTGTTTGGGTGGAGATAAGAGAGGAGGGAAGCTCACCTCTCCGGGCTGGATCCAGTGGTGCTTCTTAATTGTGATTTATTTCAAGTCTGCCCGTTTGTGTCATTTCTACTTTCCTACGAGCAATTCAACAGATTGGAAAATGTTAATATTTGCAACGGAAAAATGGGATGGTGGTACAGTGTTGTGCTGGAGGGCTAATGAAGTCAAGCATATGTCCTTCGGATGCAAATATATTGTGTGTGTGTGTGTGTGTGTGTGTGTGTGTGTGTGTGTGTGTGTGTGTGTGTGTGCGCGCGCGCGTTTTCTGATCTCTTTCTTGAGTGCTTTTCCCAAGCATTTTAATTTAAGGGATCCCATCCATAAAATTAGGCTGAGAAGGCTTGTATTTGTCTTGGAAGAATGAGGAAAAATAAGAGAGAGCAGCAGAAAAAGAGTGGTTTGCTGAGAATGGGGGTTTTCATATAAATGTATTTACATTAACTGCAACAGTCACAGAAAGAGTGAGAGCATTCATATCTCACCCTGGTCCAATGTGTCCTAACTTTCTTTCTCTCCACACCCTTTGCAAAGTAGATGTGCATTCGATTTGGATCACTAAATATAGCAAAAACAATGAATTACTTTATATCGCATAACAGCACATAAAAATAACATTCATCTGCTTAGGATGTTTGTCTGAATATTAACTTAATTAAAGCCAGCAAATATAGAAGAAAAAAGCACAAGCTTGCCCAAAGAGAACTGAATGGTCGCATCAGACTTCTCAGATCCTCAGGTTGTATGAAGTCCACTGTTCAAATGTGTTTTATAAGGGTGAGTCATACATTTAAAAGGCTGTTTTTCCTGTATGTTCTATTCTAAATTTTTCTCTCTGTTCCTACTGTTGTCATTGTTCCTACAGTGAAGTCGACCTTATAAAGGAGGTGAAAAAAAGATAATGAAAGGAGGCGAGAAAACTGTCTGTCTTTGTCATAGAAGATCGGCAGTCTATTTTTCAGAGTCGTGAGCACATA